CTTTAAAGCATCTTTCAGCCAGGGTACCAAATGACCGTTCGACTTTATTGTCCGGGCGTGAGAAAATCAAAAGTTGTTAGCCCATTGTGCGCTCAGCTCCGTGGGGTAGAACAGGTTGGCAAATTAAGTTTTTATATCAAATACATGCAAAATGAACAGGGAATCAACAACAAAAAAAAAAGTTTTAGTTTGAAATGCATCGTCCTGCCATGTTATCTTGCATTGTTGTTTCTCTTTCCACTGACTTTTGCCACATTTCAGTGCTGTCTTGTGCTGATGGTTTCTGTCTTTCAAATCCTTGAAAAACTTTGACCTACTTCAGCCCTAACCACGTCAGCTGTGTGTGTATCTGAGTGGATCCACCTGGCCTCTTTTACTGATGGTTTTTCAGCTTTTCTTGGTTATCTTCTGGCACCATCTTCTGGTGATTTTAAAATCATTGCATTTTCAGCTCTTTCAAATTTTTCCTAGCTTTTCTTTGGCCTCTTGTGGTTACTCCCTTCAGCATTAGGCATTCTCACAGCTGTTCCGCAGGAACGGGCAATTCCAGTTGTGGTATTTAAGGTCCTCTGTGGGACAACTGGAACAGTATTTATGGTCAATTTGGATACTAAGAGCCATGGGAGGAGATTCATGTTGCTATAAAAGTGGTTTCAAATGTGAGGCTAAAAATCTATTGACCTGGCAGGAAAAGCCAATATGGAGACCTTGGGCATCGTGTTAAATGTAATTATCAATTCAAATTTGATCCGCTTGATAATCTATGACTTCTTTATTTATTTATGAAAATCCGTAAATATAATTTCAAATCAACCTGAAGGATTTTGCAAAAATATGAAATGGAAAAACCATAATGGCTAATACGCAGATGTATAACTGAGTAGCTATTTATTTATTCACATGACTGACAGCACAGGACTAATAAACACTAATGAACACTACCTTGGAACTGAGGGAATATCCCTGACAGCACTCCTGCATATCGTGGCTCTCAGTATCAGTTTTGCAAGATTACTCTTCCTTCAAGCTTTCTTTTCTTTTTAGAGTTTATCTTTCAAGAACAGATTCATGAAAGCAAGTAACATCTACGTGAAAGTGTCCATCAAGTAACTTTCAAAGCATTTAAACTGTCTTAAAAGCACAATGCACAAGATTTGAAATATCTTATATATATCCAATAAGATTGGTTGGATTGGTTGAGTGTGTAGGAAAGTGTTTCTAACACAGGTAGTTGTACAATGTTGCCACTAGATGTCACCAGTGACTCTTTCAAGTGCAATAACTTAAATAATAACTTTTCCAAATGGGTAAGCTCTCAGTCTAATATGAAAAATACATAAGATATTTTACATGGCTATTCCTGTTCCTTTGTTTGGAGCTGGCCTCATGTCTTAAAATGTTAAATGCCTTTCAGCAAACTAATGCTGCTGTTTAGTTACCATTAAAGTGTGATGACTGAAGCCTTGCTGAGACTTTTTTAACATTGATTGTTCTGTGAAATATCCAAATTCAGACTGTTAATGACATCCGCATGTCTGCATAATTGTTTTTCTCAAGTATTACTTGGAATTTTTTATCTCAACTTGTGATATTTGCTCATTTGGTGCAGGTTTTGATTTTCAATTTTGTCCCGAGTGGTCAGCATGTATGAACCATCCTGTCTATTCCCTGTGGAGGCAGGCCTCAAAAACTGTGAGTTTCCACGCTGCTTTCTTATTCTGATTTACAACATACAGCACATGCCTTAGAAGATTACTCTCATGTGATATTCTTAAACCAGTTGTCCATTTGTGTTCGACAGTTTGCAGAGATGGCATGTAGCAACGTCACTGTCTTACTGAATGGGTCTATTGTCAATGCCTTCAACAGAAAAAGGTAAGGAACTATTCAGTTTTTCAAATACATATCCATGTATTCTATGATTTTTTTTTTAAATGATCTTTTTTTTTAATCCCAATTCTACAGCATGTTTGGAAGTGTGGAACTGGACAGCATGAATCCACAAAGAGTGGATCATGTCAACATTAAGGTGATGACCAATCTGGCGGGGCCTCAGATGTGAGGATAACAACAAAAAGCACTAATTCTATTATTGACAGTTACAAGCAAGACAAAGTTACTGACAATTTCATCTCCTTCGAA